ACTTAATAGTTTTATAAAGGGATAGAGTGGTGCATTTAATTCATTTTTAAAACCAGACACTTTCTGATTTTCTCGTCAGACTTTAAAAGGTTTTTAAAACAGTATTCAGCTGAACTACTAATCAAAAATGTTTTGCACTGTTCAATGCTGTATTTAAACTAAAAAGATTGCCTATTGCCGTTATAAAACCACAATAAATCAGAGTGAAAGCCAAACGGCTGTTACACTGTTATTTGGGCGTGCATCCTATTTTCGAAGCATGACATCTTAAGGGGGAGATTTTTGATAGTTTTCATCGGTGGTAAATTGCGGTGTGTAATTAGAAGGTGGTAGAAGGCATCATAATCAGCGATACGATTGGCTAGGGTGATTTCTTTGATGACACGCACTTCGCATCTTTGATGACACGCAGTCGATCAGATGATTTAAAACTGGTTCGACGATGTTGATGTTTGGATGGTATTGAAATCTCACCCGTTCGAGTTCTGGGTTCACTTTAATCGGGGGATTTAATAGGCAGGAATTTATTTCATCATCGATCGGGTTTCTCCTTTGCTTCCGTACACCTGCAAGGAATCAACAGTTCAAAGGAGCATTGATACAGAATCTTGAGGATGGTATGAATTTGCTTGAACACCGTATAGGCACCGGTGGAAACTAACGATTTTAAATTGGATCACTACTTGACTAGCCTATTGGTCCCAAGCAAATCGATTAACGTACCCTATTCTAGTCGAAATTCTAGTACTACACTATGTTTGTTTTGATTCGCTATGAATGTTTGACAGATAAAATGAGGGGTTCGTGGATTTTTCTATGTTTCGAGGGGTGCATCGATTAGCTTGGGACCGAAGATAGTACCAGAGCTGAGCCAAAAAGTTGAGCACGTATCTTCGGGACCTTCTGGTCTTAGAGTTAAGCCTAGTATACAGATCGAAGCGAAACGAAAATTGAAGCACGCGAAAAATCATGAAATTTTGCTAGCGAAAAAGGTTGTGAAAAATGTTTGTGGAACATTTTCCAGTTTCCTTTTTTCGCAGTTTACAGTTCATGTGAAACGAAATCGATCAGTTTACACCTCCGGTGAAGTGAAAATCTGACAGATACGCTCTCCCGAAACGTCAACTTTTCGCTTAGCAGCTGCTCTTTTCGCGAGCGCTGCATGCGCGAAAAAAAATTAACGTAAGCGAAAAAGATGCGATCCACAACATTAGATTTCGCTGGATCGTATCTGCCTACAGTTCAAAGCGAAGTGAAAAATTTGCCAATTGCGTTTTTCACGCTGGTGAAATATTTAGTATTTGTATGAGATTTTCGCTTCGCTTCGATCTCTATACAGGCCAATTTAAAATCGTTAGTTTCCACTGGTTGGAATAGGTTTGTTGGCTTCCAGTTCCTCTTCCACCTCCCGATCCGCTGACGTTCTAATGATAATGAAGGTGATTGCTTACCATGCTCCGTCAGAGAAAGTGAGAATGTAAACACAATCACAAAAGTTATAACTTTAAGGATTGCCAAACTCATAGAATTTTGACACCTTGCTAGGCACACATTGATTGACCATGATAAAATTAAAGTGTGCAAAGTGGAATACCCCTTAGTTCTCAAATCATCCTTCTTCTTGACTTAATAGTATTAGCCGTAGACGGTCCACGGGGATCAACATGAGCTGGCCAGACTCTTTTATAATTTATTTGAAATACCCCTACTTCACTTCTGATAAAGTTTCAACGTTTGTTGATTGACCATTCTTGAAATTCGATTTTAGTGGCGATCCAGAAGCGAGAAATTGGTTCTTGAGCTATCCACGGATGATGATAAACCCAGAGGAATTCCATGGTTTATGTGACATAGAGAGAAAATGGTTATTGCGACTTGAAAATGATGAAAATCTCCAATCTACGCAAAAGTTACGTAGGACTACGTGGTCTTATATAATAAATCTTATTTGTTAACTGCAGCAGGAGCTTGTGTTTTGTGTAGGAATAGGAATTTGAGCGGGGTTCTCTCTATTGGCGTTGACGGCGACTCTGTCGTTGTGTACTGGAGAACAATGCAACAGTTGCACCAACAATCTATACGAAACTAACGATTTTAAATTGGTTCACTACTTGACTAGCCTATTGGTCCCAAGCAAACGATTAACGTACCCCATTCTAGTCGAAATTCTAGTACTACGCAATGTTTGTTTTGATTCGCTATGAAAGTTTGACAGATAAAATGAGGGGTTATTGGTTTTTCCTATGTTTCGAGGGGTGAATCGATTAGCTTGGGACCGAAGAGAGTACCAGAGCTTATCCAAAAAGTTGAGCACGATATTTCGGGACCTTCTAGTCTTAGAGTTACCTCTATGGTTGCACATTCGTGCAGTTGTCAATACTGACATTTTGAAAAATTATAAGGTCTTAAATTTAACAGATGCGTAGACATATATCTGATCGATTGGTGATAAAATTATTGAAATTGGTCTAGGATCAGCTGAGTTATTAACGTTCAAAATCTTTCATAATATTGTTACATGTTCCATTTTCGGTTTTCACAAAGTGTACCCCCATATAGAAATCATAGACGTAGTCCTATGTCAAAAATGCACTCCATACATTTACCATAGAGGTAACTCTAAGACCAGAAGGTCCTGAAGAAACGTGCTCAACTTTTTAGACAAGCTTCCGTTCCAAACTAATCGATGCACCCCTCGAAACACAGGAAAATCCACGAACCCCTCATTTTATCTGTCAAACATTCATAGCGAATCAAAACAAACATAGTGTAAAATATGGACCAGTTAGGTCTGTGCCACAAATGGCAAAGAAACATGAAGTAGTACTAGAATTTCGACTAAAATGGGGTACGCTTATAGATGTACTTGGGACCAATAGGTTAGTCAAGTAGTGAGCCAATTCAAAATCGTTAGTTTCCACCGGTTGCTCCATTCTAGTCGAAATTTTAGTACTACCAACAATCAATACGAAACTAACGATTTTAAATTGGCTCACCACTTTAGTAGCCTATTGGTCCCAAGCAAACGATTAACGTACCCTATTCTAGTCGAAATTCTAGTACTACGCAATGTTTGTTTTGATTCGCTATGAAAGTTTGACAGATAAAATGAGGGGTTATTGGTTTTTCGAGGGGTGAATCATTAGCTTGGGACCGAAGAGAGTACCAGAGCTGAGCCAAAAAGTTGAGCACGTTATTTCGGGACCTTCTAGTCTTAGAGTTACCTCTATGGTACTACCATAGAGGTAACTCTAAGACCACTGGGTCCCGAAGAAAATCATTATTATTTTTGGCTCACTCAGTACCAGAACAACGATCCCAAGCAGTCCCAAGCTATTTCACTCACCCCTGCATGTTCTGCATGAATCCACACACCCCTGATGTTATCTGTCAAACTTTCATAGCGAATCAAAACAAACATAGTGTAGTAATAGAATTTCAACTAGAATAGGGTACGTTAATCGTTTGCTTGGGACCAATAGGCTACTAAAGTGGTGAGCCAATTTAAAATCGTTAGTTACGTATTGATTGTTGGTACTACTGTAACACTACACAGAAAAAAAATAATTTTAATATCATATCAAAGTGGATGCACTTCAATCAACCGGTGGAAACTAACGATTTTAAATTGCCTCACTACTTGACTAGCCTATTGGTCCTAAGCAAATCGATTAACGTATCCCATTCTAGTCAAAATTCTATTACTACACAATGTTTATTTTGATTGGCTATGAAAGTTTGACAGATGAAATGAGGGGTTCGTGGTTTTTCCTATGTTTCGAGGGGTGCATCGATTAGCTTGGGACCGAAGAGGGTACCAGAGCTGAGCCAAAAAGTTGAGCACGTTTCTTTGGAACCTTATGGTCTAAGAGTTATCTCTTATCTCTGGTGAAGTTGGCGGGGTCTCCCAACAGTTTCAATGTGCACTCACCAGATGGCACTGCGATCACATAAGGGTGGTGTATCCATTGCCTTGTTCGAGAAATAGATTAGTGGGATATCTTGTTAATTTAAAATCTTTGGCAACAGGTAAAGGAATGTTTCCTCTACTAGCTAGCATTGTTAACTTGGAGGGGTAAGCGTTTATTTGCGAAAAATCGACAAAACGCAATTACGCCCCTTTGAAATGTTGACACTGATACATAGAAACGTCAAAGTGATCCGATGCCAGCGCTGCGGTGAGTAGTTCGCGGAAACGATAGCATTCAAACCAATCGTTAAATGCGCAAACGATGATCCAGAATGAAGAGTTACGTCTGTTTGTCTGTGGTATGAATATGATTTCTTGTGGACGTCCTTGAATACGTTATGTAGTCTCTCTTTTGTGCATTTGACCTTATTTTGATAGTTTAAGAAATCATTTATGCTTGAACATTTTGCGGACTTTCTCTTGAAGCTGATGACAATCTGATTATGTTTTTTATGGCAGAATAAGCTACTCCTCAACTAGGGTAAGAACTGCTCGTAGGTATTCTTTTGAATTCATACAACAAACAATTTCTCCAGAATAATTTTAAGGACACATCTGTGCATGTTCAAAAGCCATCAGTAATATTGCTCCCTTTTAACGCTCCACGACGTTTTTTTTTCGCTCAACACCCATAATCGAAACCATGTGGGATTTTATACGTTGTCCCTAGGAAATTGTCTCCAGCTCCCTGTCATTCCCCTCTGGACTGAGGAATAAAGTTTCTTTTAACGTCAAGGATATGCAACTATGTGAACAACAACGAACTTAATAAAAGGCGCCGATGGGGTAGTGGTAAGCGTGAGTCTGGGTTCAATCCCAGCCGGGGTCGTTGGGATTTTATCTGAGGCGAAAAAATCTCTGGTCACGTCTTCCTTCGAAAGTGAAGTAAAGCCGTTGGTTGGGGCATGGGCACTCGATTACCGAACAAGAGACCGACGTTAAATAAAGGAATTAACAACGAACTTAGTTCCATTTCTAACAACTAAATCATTTTACCAATAAACACCCATTTTCTTCTTCACCCAAACAGACCAAATGCCGGTGTCAAAATCTACAACCTGGTGGTCCTGATCGTCGACATCCTGGTGATGATGTTCCGGTGGACCTACTACACGCTGGAGGCCATGTACATGGTGGTCGTGCCACCGAAGCCGGAAAGCGTCGCCAAGGACATCGTCGTGGTAACTGGGGCTGGTCATGGTATTGGTCGCTCGTTGGCCCAGCAGTATGCCCAGCTGGGAGCAACGGTCGTCTGTTTGGACATTAACGACAAGATGAACAGCGAAACCGTAGCCAGCATCAAGAAGGAACGTGGCAACGCTTTCGGATATGTGTAAGTTACGGAATCTGCTTTCCGGGCTTCTTGTCCAGATGATCTACTAATGAAAAATAAATTTCCCCGAATAGGTGCGACGTAACGAACCGGGAAAAGATCATCGAAACGGCCAAAATGATCAAGGAGCAGGTCGGTATCGTTACCATTCTGGTCAACAACGCCGGTATCATGCCGACGCATACCCTGCTGAAACAAACGGAGGGCGAGATCAGGAAGACGTTCGAGATCAACGTGCTGGCTCACTTTTGGGTAACGATTTCTCCCATAACTGAATCAGTACTTCTGCATAATAACTCATAATCCTTTCCCCACAGATGCTTCAAACATATCTGCCGGATATGATTCAGAAGAACCGTGGATTCATCGTAGCCCTGTCGTCCATTGCCGGTCTGGTCGGGCTCAACAACTTGGTTCCGTACTGCGGTAGCAAACACGCCGTCCGTGGCATCATGGAAGCCGCCCACGAGGAGATTCGTCAAGATGCCCGCAATCCAAACATCAAGTTCACCAGCGTCTATCCGTACATGGTCGACACGGGCCTGTGCAAGAAGCCGCACATGCGTTTCCCGAACCTGATGCGACTGGTCAAACCGGACGAGGCGGCGGCAGCCATCATCGATGCCCAGCGGCGCGGTCTTATTGATGTGTCCATTCCCAAGTATCTGCTGTACCTGAACACCTTTGTGCGGCTGTTCCCGCTCAAGGCTGCCAATCTGCTGCGGGACTTCCTGGACAGCGGGGTGGAGTCGGATCTGTGAACATTGATTGGCATGCGGATAGACACATGTGTATACAAAATATCACTCCTACAGCACGCGCAGCTCTAGTTAGTTGCCCTAAATGTTAACTTATTTGTTATGTTACGATTGCAATATTTGTCCATTATACAGCAGCATTTTTCAATCTTGTGAGAATAATTTTACTTTTGAGTCAGGTAGGGAGCACTCAGCACAAAGATTTATTTGTAAGCGACCATCGTGAGCGAAATAATGATACGAGGTGAATAAATCTCATTATGCAATAGCAGAGTGTGGAGAGTTTTGTTGATGATCCGAAAATCCCGCTTCATTTCTAGACTAAAATTTTTGAAAATGGTGGAATTCCAAAATCACCATAACGAGAAAATCGCTTCCGAATTTTGATGACCTAAAAGATAATCCCATTTTATGAATGATTTTATTAGCTTGACACATACGCCCTTATTCTCGTTTTCGTTCGAACAGTATTTTTCAAACAAAAAAATTTTTGACGTAGAACTACGCCTTTGTTCACTATACTGGGGTGCAAATCATAAAAATTGTGTTACTAAATAGTGTCAGGTTTTAAACGCTTATAACTTGATCATTTATGGATGGATTTCAATTCTGTTCACACCATTTGATTCAGATTTGATGTACAATTCGTTTGGTGTAAAGTTTATGGTAGTTTATCATTTAAAAAGTATTGAAAATGTATCAAACTTTTTGGCCGCAATCAACCAATCGCGAGCTTGTATAACTATCAAGAAAACAAAGAGAGGCGAGTCTATTGTAAGGTTGTAAAAGAGCAATTTTTTCCAGTTCATAATCTACTTGACCGTCAAGCAGTACAGTTCAATTTTTACTCACTCCCTCTAGAGTTGTCCACTATTTCGTTGCGATAGTGCTCGCGGTTCTTTTTTCGCAGTATTTGATGAAGCATCGTTCGACCTCAGCATGAAGAAACCTCCGTGTGTTGACGTGACTGCTATTCCAACCAGGAAACGATCCCGATGTGACACCGCCAGTGCACAAATGGCATCGAAGAAGCTGTTGGCGAACAATCGTTACGCCATCCTAGAAAACGGCGATGAACCGAAGGTGGAAAAGAAGGAGAAAGTTCCACCGTTCTTCGTAAAAGGATTCCCGGAAGGCTTGCAAGAAAAAAATAGACTTTTACATTGGTAAAGGTCTCAAGTGTACCATGCGCCTGTGTACTGAAGGCATCAATCTGAAGGTCCTAGCGATTAACAACTACAAGGCCGTCGAGGCGTTGCTGAAGCAGAAAAACGTGGAGTATTTCTTCCACTATATTGAGACGACCAAACCGCTCAAGGTGGTCTTGAGTGGCCTTCCCTCCCAACATTCACGTAAGTACCGCAACCAGCTGTATCTGGTCCACCTGGAAAGGAATTCAACATGCTTGAAGGACCTTCAAAGCATTCGGGCCCTTTTCTACATCGTGGAGATTTGGGAACGCCCATATACAGTGGGCGAGTCGCCAGCAGCGCGCTCACGGACAGCCCGGCGGACTTGGGCGGAGCGCCCCCGCGGCGCTATTTGGTCGCCCTTTGCGCGCTTCCGCCCTTTGCGCGCTTCCGCCCTTTGCGCGCTTCCGCCCTTTGCGCGCTTCCGCCCTTTGCGCGCTTCCGCCCTTTACGCGCTTCCGCCCTTTACGCGCTTCCACCCTTTGAGCGCTTCCGCCCTTTTGATGATCTGTTTTTCTTTCGACGTCGGGTGGGGGTGAGGATGATATGGGGATCGGCATCAGAAACGACGGAGTGACGTTAATATTGTGGGTTTCTACCGGTTTTGTCGAGCTACTTCGGTTTTGCCGCTTTTCGGTTGAGTTTGCCGAATGTATAAACAAGAAGTTAAAAAAGGATACGCTAAAAATTGTTTACCCAGATTATGTATTGTTGAAATAAATATGCTTTTGAATTTAATTCAAACATGCATATATTTGTTGAAAACATGTTTTTAATTTACTTTGAACTATTCAAATTTTAATATAATAAACAATTCCGAGAACAATCTTTGTTTTTGTGTGTGTAATAGACACCCCCCGAGTATCTAGTATTCCTATAATGATTCCATCATGGTTGTTATCATATGATAACTTTCCAACATTCAAAACTAATTTGGACGTGGTCTGAAACGTATTGAAACTAGAATATGTTGGAAACCAAATACCATTTTCACATCAACCAACCATTGCAACATCATGACTAACGAATGTATTAACCTCTTGTGTACCAACATTCATTCTTGAAGATAATTGTACATCTTGAAATTTAGGAGCAATTTGAGTATTGCTTGTAGTATTTACAATTGAACTACTAAGGATGTGGGCGCTAAATTTATGTAGGCGCTTACCACGAAAATAGTTATCCTACGTTGTGTTTTAATACTTTCACTTGGTGGTGGGCAGCGACAGTGGATAGCCGCCACTTACAGCAGATGACACCGGCAGGAAGCAGCACAGCAGATGCACAGGTAAGTTCATTCACTTTAATTTATTCAACAGGACGGACAGCAAACTCACGGTAAGCGGTAAGAAAAGAACTTTATTGGAGAACTTTCACAAACTTTACAATGGCACTTTATTGCACTTCACTGCTTGGGTGTTCAAATAAATCAGACCACGATAAACCCGGACGAAAATATATAGTCACTTGGAATGGTACTCACCAGTTCCAAGGCAAGTATGTACCAAACGCATAATTGACTTGTTAACTCTGATATCATGGATTTATTTGAAGTTTTCTGCTCGATAGGCCCAAAAAGGGCGATTAGGCCGAAGTAGTTCTCTACCATATAGCAAGCAAGAAGAAGAAAAAAATTACACAGAAGGAGATACACTTACAGCTTCTTCAGTCGAACTATCATCATCCTTCTTGACTACTGCTATCTTCTTAATGTTTGTAGTAACTTCCTTATCATCGTTGCTGTTCCGGCGTTTAATCGGTTTTGTCGATGGCGTCTCATGACAGGCACGCTCAAGGTGCCCCTTACGCTGACAATTTCGACAAATCATGTCAATGGCATGGCATTCCGCGGGAATATGCTGTTTGCTTAGACACCTCCAGCACATTACACGAGACGTCACATTCCTGGTAAACTCTTGACGACCGAATCCTCTTCCTCCTCTTCTAGAGAGCCTGGAATTCAGGCTCTTTATCCTCTTCCACTTCTCCATCTTGCAGTACCTTCCACTTCTCCATCTTGCAGTACCTGCACCGAAACTCGTTGATTGAAGACTTCTCTGCCCATCATATGCAACAGCGTCCACTTCAGCCTGTGCTATTGTTCGGTGACTTCTAACAAACATTTCCTCATTCAATTGCTCCATCTCCAGGGCCCGCACTTTCTCCAGCAGATCAGCAAGAGAACCACCTTTTCTGAGAATCTTCCTTCCTTCCGATTGAATCGTGTCGGCTACCTGCTCTGCTATATTACCATCATTGTAATCACATACTTCAGCCGCTGATATGACTCGTTTAACATATTTCACGTCCGCCTCTCCTGGTTTTTGTATCAACGATCTAAGCTTTTGTCGCTGCATGAAGATATAGTCTCGTGATCCGTAGAATGCATCTAGACGGTGTATCGCATTAGAATACGGAGCAGATCGCATATCCGGAGAATCCGTGCTCGAAACTGTTCCGTCGAGGACATCCATCAATTGTGCACCCGCTTTGATACGGAAGATGTTCACCTTGGTTATTTCTTCAACAACTCCAGCCAATTGCATTGATGCTTCCAACATATGTTTCCACTGTTCATATGACTTACGGTCAATGTCTTCTTGTCCATCAACAGGTTTACACTCCGGTACCTGGAGGGATGCAAACGACATATTACTCATTGACGACATGAGCACGTGCTGTCAAATCAGCCTACTGATCATTCTTGTATGAAACTGGTTCCAAACGTAAACAAACGCTGTAGGTTTCTTATGGCTTATTTACGTTTGGAAACAGCTATGCGAGGTAGGCGACGATTGTTCGTATTTGACAGCCAACTCCCCTCCTTGCATGAGCATTGAGTTGTGATCGTTTGCTGAATTGTCATCTCGCATCGTGGAATGCATTCGAAAGAAACTTCCATCTTCAACCGATTGCTCCAAATTCTTTTTATCAGTTCTCTCTTTCTTTTCGTATAATAAGCTCAGTTATTTATTTATTTATTTATTTATTTATTTCAGAATCAACGTTTGTCCTGTGTGATGATAGCTTCTTTACGAATTGGTTGCACACGATCAATTACACATAATCTTGTTTAAAGAATTGACTTCCGTACCCAAGCCGAATCATGCACTCCTACCCGCTCGGAAGATGGATTTAGTGAATTTAATCTGATTCACCCGTGTCATTTGCTTCAGACCCATTTGGTTTTTTTTTTGTTAATTTCATCTGACCCAACGGGGTAAAGTGTCTTCCGTCAGACACACCAACCCGCTCAAGGTTTGGATGTAGTTTAGTTTCATCTGACCCACCCGGGTCAAGTGTCTTTTATCAAACACACCAACCCGCTCAGAGGTTGGATTTCTTTGCTTTAGTGTGATCCAACCGGATCAAGTGTCTTCCGTCAGACACACCAACCCGCTCAGAGGTTGGATTTCTTTATTTTAATCTGACCCATTTGGGTCAAGTGTCTTCCGTCAGACACAACAACAGCTGAAGGGTTGGATTTAGTCAATTTGTTCCGACCCTCCCGGTTCAAATTACTCGTTACTTTGTTACTTAACCCGTGTAAGAATTAGATTCACCTGAATCATCCCTGTTCGCGTTTGATTTCCACTTACAAGATGGCGGCCATCACCATTTTATAAAATAACATCCTAAAAACAAATCTTCTTTTCACCTACCAAGAACTACGTTTACGTTATGCATACTAAGCCCAAAAGTATCTATTTCATCTCATAGTTTATACTTACTTCATAGTGGGAGCGTTTTTTCGATCTTTCACTGCGCCATTGTCGGATGGCTCCATCTTGCCAACTTTCTTTATTTCACTCGCGAACGAACTGCTTTTCACAACGTCAGTCTAAAATCTGATCTCTCTCGTCTTTTTGAGTTGCAGCTCGCCTGCTTGTTGTTTTTTTTTTATTAGAACGTTTCCCTTAATGAAGTAATATATGGTAATAGCACAAACGAAGTGACAGACGGAGCGGCTCGAAAACTTTGGTGACTAACCTGCTATTGCAATTTTTCAGTGTACCACATGGCAACACCAC